TTGCAGGTGATGACAGCTACAAGCTGGAGTAGTGTGTTGCTGCCTGGATTGGCACAGTAGCCCAAGGACAACTTATAAACTGTCAAACACCTAGCTGGTTCTCCACGATCCCCTGGGGCGGTGGGTGGCACAGGTGGCAGACAGCTCTGCTGTAACAGACTGGCCCGCGGTCGGCCCCAGCCCGTGCACAGGAAAGAACTGGGTATCGTTTCACCACTGACAAAGCAGAAAGTCTGGGCAGATGGAGGGTCTTCCTCCTTTACAGACTAAAGCAAAGCTCACTGCCCACAATCTGGAGGTGTATATTGAAGGGAACTCAGCACCCTAAGCCTGCTTGAGATACCCACCACACCTTTTTTTCAGAAGCGTTCAGCAGAGTAGAAGGGTCATCTGAAAGTGTGATACTGGTCTGAACACCTACACGGGGCTGCCTTCCAGCCCCGCAGGATGCAACAGCGGACAAAATGACTGCCTCTGGCCTTCCTCCTTCTTTCTCTCTCCAGTTATATGCACAGCTTGGGACAACAAACCTTTGCAAACAAAGATTGCCCTAACCATAAATATTCACCAAGGACTATAATAGCTGCAAATTACACTTTGCTTAGAGCACAGTAATAGCTTTTCCAGAGGGGTGAGAACAAATGGAAGGAGAAACCCAGAGTATGTTTACAGATGGCACATGTAAAAAAACCGCTGCTAACCCAGTTTCCATTTCTTTGTATCGTATGGAATAGCCATCATGTCGTACCTAGCAAAACATCATGGGCTGGGTTGGGAACGTGAGACATGGAATAAGCCACCAGAGGAAATGAAAAATATTTCAGGGCACTAAGGCACTGTCAGATTTAGAGTACAAGCTCAAGTAGAGCTGAACTGTGCTATTAGTTGTTATAATGAAGCATAACTAAAATGCTTGTCGACATTGAAGGAGTCTCATAGATAAAGATATGCAACACCTTAATGCAAGTGATACTTTCATCCTGAGCTTCTTCCAAACAACTTTGAAAAAGCAGTGAGATTGTTCAAACAAATTTCTAGTGCGGGGAACGCAAACAGAGCATCCTGCACATTTCCAGTACTTCTGGCATAGCTAGAAGGCACAATAAGGGATCATAAAAGAGATTCCAAGGACACAAGCCAACTCTGCAAAGGAACACCAGTTACCTCAACACCACCATAAAAGAAAAAGAAGTCATGCAACAGGACCTTAGCAGTCTGGAAATACACCAGGAAACATTAGCAGGCTCTGACCTAACAGAAGTGTATCATTACAAACAGCACCTTCTTACATAAGCACCTACATCAGAGCACTAACAAATCCGTCCCATTCCCAACCTCATCCAAGCACAGAAAAGAACTGGTCTAGCACTGTTTCTACAGTGATAGAATTTTCATTCCATAGATTCATTCCAGCAGTGATTTTGTACAGTTGCCAGTTCTCTTCCCAAGTGAAGGAGAGGTGTTCCCTCTCATTGCTGTATAGTGAGAGACAGCTGTGACAGCCCTTGCCTTGATGAACCATAAGCTTTTCACAGGAAACCAAGAAAGAGGGGGGGAAAAATCAGCAAGTTTTTCTTCATCAAATTTGTATTTTAATGTTGTTTTGTCTCGATTTGTTTTAAATACAAAAGGGATCATGATTGTACATGCTATGAGCTGTCTAAGCCTTTCAGGGTGTTCTGTGCATGTCTGCTTAAGAGCAGGTAACTCTTAAATGCAAACAGGCCCTGGAGCTTCCTTCTATCATCCCTGCTCTTTCCTCTCATTTCTTACATGGATTTACCAGACTTCAAGAAATAGCAACCCTGGAGGCTTGAGAAATGTTTCATGCAGCCATAAACCCTCTTAAAGGGCCATATTTGCTTACTAGCTATTGTAAGGGAACAGAATATCAACACCCAAAAAAGCAACGAACAACAATGCACACATGTGCGTTCTGAAAGGAGCTCTTTCCTTTCAGTACCTGTGAGAAGTGTCAGACTTCTACTTACCTACCCACAGGTACTACTAATCCCAGCCCTGGCACAGCCCCACGCTGGGTTACAAGAACACACACACACACCACAGCGCAGGCATGAAAAGCGTAGCAGTCACTCTCAGGTACCTCCACAAGCACAGCTTACCATGAGCACAGCAGCTAAGCACTGACTATCACAACCCGAGCTCTGAACCCAAGATATTTGCCTTCCAACATCCCTTTATAAAGCTACCCCCAAAGGGGAGAACAGCCACTCTTTGCACACTTCCCTGAAAAATTTTATCCACCAACTTACACTAGGTATTTTTTAAATTCAGTAGAGAAGATAGCAAAAATGGCTTAGTGCTAAATATTTATTCTACAAAACCATCCCTGTGCACCATCTGCTCAAGCTTCAGCATCCCATCATTTTCATGCAGACAGTCAGTGTGCTGATATGGTAACAAAGAAGGATAAGCACAGATCAGTGTCAGAAGCTACCTAGAAAATGAAGGCATTTCCTGGTGTAGAGAAATCACAGGCACAGTGTGAGAGACAGAGAGACAAGTTACAGTCTTCTTCCAGGTGCATAGTACATGCTGCAGGGGGGCACCCATGAGCCCCTGTATGCAATGGGAATGTTTTCCTGTGAATTCTCAAATAAGCAGAACAGCTCATGGGTTCTTGACTGGAAAATCCGCTCCAAAGGACTGTACTACGCAAGAAAGACGTGCACTCTATACCCACAGAAGACAGCCCGGACGGACAGCTGAGGCAGGAGGGGTTTTTTGGTAACTTGGAATAGACGCATCTTTATGGCTACAACCTGTTTTCCTGGTGGGCTGACAGGAGAAACAATGGCATATGCGATGTGCTGTACCTGTGCTGCTCCCTTCCTGTTGTCAGAGTACAGGGTCTCCTGCTGACAAGTCATCTGTGTGGCGGCCTTACCAGAGCGCGAGCCTTCTGGGCTTGACAAACAACACATTCTTCAACTTCATTGCGGGGAACAGTGTCTTTATTATCAATACAGGCCATTCTTTTAACCCTTGTCCTATTGGTTCTTCTGGTGCCTATCTACGTGCATTTCCATTCATACTTCATTCAAACCAATCTTTGTATTTCTATTACAAGCCTCTACCGAACCCATTTCTGGAGAATTTAAAGGACTACTCTCCCTGCTTACACCCAGAATATGTCACCACGTGGAGCTGAAGTGTGTAGGTATGGGTGCCAACCCTTCCCTCGGAGGGGTGTGGGATCCAGCAATGCTCTGCATGAAAAAATAAAAGACCGAGTACCACCCTTGCAGGCAGAGGAGGTGGGCCATCACATCACACAGTGCCACTGCAGGCAAATGGCTCAGAGCAGCTGGACAATGCAGGTGGGACCAAACTCAGCACTTGCTGCTGTGGCAGGGTAAGCGAATGCTGGTAGAGAGGTAAAAGCATCGCCCTCAGTTTCACACCAAGAGGGCCAAGATCCCACAGCACCAGCTGGGGAACGCTGAGATCAGTGGCACAGGGTAGGAAAAACAAAGAAAAAGGTGAGTGTCTCCTTTTGCCTGCCCTGCCTACGGACGGGCTAATGCTGGTGAACTGCAGAAGACTGCAAGAGCTGATCAGTCCACCCTCACACAACTGATGGTGTCCAAGCCTTTCACCAGGGACAAGAGGCACTTGTGAGTGAGTGCAAACACCTGGAATGTGGCTCAGGATGAGCAAAGCACTGAAATCCAAACAACACAGGCAGCCACACAGCATGAAGTGTGAAGCAGCCAAGCACCCTGCCTGAAATGGCTGCAGGTGTGCTCCAGCACCAGCATCACACATCGAGCAGCAAGAGGGATGACAGCAGAGCATGCTCTCACTGGGCACAGCAGGGAAAAGGTTTCAGGGCTGGGTGCAAGTACACAAGCAAAACAAGCAGTTTTGAGAGTATGCGTGTGGGCTCTCAAGCTCTGCAGCCACCAGTGAGAACAAGAATACAAATGAATGCCTCTTGAAATTGTTTTACAACATAGGTTATATATAAATTCCAACTGTTACATTGCCTAAATTAAAGTATGGGTATATTAAAAACAAGGCCCAGTTGCCAAGCAATCAGATTTTACTTTCCCAGTAGGTTTTTGACTTCCATCTATGTGAATATACTCAACTATTGGCAAAAACATCTCTAAATTGCACCAACTGCACTTCTTGAATTCTGTGATCAGTAACTACATAAAAATTGATTAGTGGAAGAATCAAAGCCATTATGAAAACATACTCTGTATCTTGTGGACAGATAAATTCATGAAGGTGCTGGAATAAAAACCACAACACACTAAAACAGGGTTACTTTATATACAGAGAGAGAGAGAGAGAGAGATACGCACTACCTGGAATCCAATCTACTGTCAACTAGCTTTTTACATTAGTATAAGCTTGTGCCATCCATCAACAGCTAAACCCACACTGTCACAGCTATCATTCTGGAACATCTTACAATGTTTGTGGGTAAAGCATTTTGGTTTTTGCCCCTTACAGAAACAAGAATTTCTGGTATAGCCTTACCAATGTGCAGAACTAAGCTACCAAGGCTTGAAGTGAGTCATGAAGGCAGCGTTGGTTAAACTGAGAGCCATTACATAAAAACACCCCAAGATGTCCATTCTCTACAAGCCCAGCTCTGGTGGTTGCATCCACATGAGCAGCGACAAAACAAATTCTTGATGACCGCACAGGTGCTGCCAGGAAATTTGAGGTCCTGTGCCAAGTACCTGAAAGCCCTCTTCAGTGCTTCCAGCAAACCTGAGCACACAGTCAGCTCTGCAGACCTGCATGATGGAAACCATGAAGATGACAATCTCATGACTCAGTTTGTCTCATAGGGCAATGCAAGGATATGACCATCGGCTGCAGTTTAAGACACACGAAACATCCATCAGCAACCACAAGAGTAAGGATAATGTGTTAGAAGGCACTGCAATCATACACTTTTGCATTTAGGCGCTCGGAGTAAGCACGCTTGCAGATTCAAGCTGATAAACAGATTTCCTCACCTGCAGAGTCCAGGAAGGAAGCCACACACTTGCCACAGGCACTGCACTCCAGTACAAATTTTACCTTTGAGCTGTTACTCTGCAGTGAGAAAAGTGCCTGAAGCCCTTTACCGGAGTGAAGACCTCTGAGCAGGAGCAGAGGCTCAGTCTTCACCATGAAGCCATTCATAACATCCTGAATTCACAGACAATCGCACCAGCTGACGGGACACAACGTTAATGAACTTTTCCTTCGGAAGTACTTGCTTCTGGTAGGAAACATCCACACCCTCATCACTTCAGGCTGGTCCTGAGCAGGCTTCATGAAAACAGCAGGTTAACCCTTCAAGCAGCTACAGAGGAGAGGTGTCATTTATCTGCAACAATCAGAGGCTCTTACTAGCAGACCATTGAGTTTTGCGCAAGCAGGCATAATTCTTTGTGAATCACGCTCATCAGATGGATGGACAGATTACAAAATACAGCCTCATAGTCATGCATGACAAACAAGAGGTTTTGTCTGGCAGAAAGCATTTTGGTACACAAGGCCCCTTTTTCTCAGGACTTTTGGAGAAAGAAGTGAAGTGATTTCTATTCAATCCTGTACGAGGCATAGAAGAGTTAGTCCTACAAGATGTACTTACAGCAAGTAACTTGAATTCAAAGATTTTCCTGTGGTCTATTCCTGTTAAGTGATATCAGGGGTTTTGTTAATAATAATAATAGAACATGCATGTCTCTAAACATAACTGCATTGTAGTAAGGATTTCAAAATGAATGCCAGCAGGTTCTTTCAAAGGCACTGATGTTCCCACAGGGTATGATGAATCTACACATGTGGGTTCTCTTTCTGAGACACAGCATCAATAGTATATTCATACTGTGATTTGAGGATTATAACTAAAACCAGAGCAACACAATGCAATCCAGGTCCAGCATGGTGCACCCAAAAAAACTGGTGGTAAGTGTTTTCCCTTTACACTTCAGAATATATTAAGCTGACATTCTTTCCTTCATTGTGTACAGCTTAGTGAAATGAAGCTAGAATATCATAGCTCTTCAAAATACAGGTGAAGAGAAGATCTTGCATAGCCACAAGCAGCAAATCCTCATTAAAAGTCTTTTCCCATTACAAGCTGAAAAATCCACCTTTCTGTGGCTCTTGTATGGTGCTCAGCATAATGTCTCGCTTGAGCACAAACATTTTGTTCAGATACACGGACGTAAACTGGATGGATATTCAAATCCTTTTCACAGCAAAAGCAAATGAAAAATGCCTATTTCTCCTAGGATTTGTAATCATCCTCCCACCAAGACAAGCCATGTTTTCAGAGAACACCCAGCCCCAGAATTCCTAGCCCCACTGCTCCATTCCTGTTTAGACAGAGCTTTCCACAAAGAAAAATATATGAGCTACTCCAAATATTCAGTCTCAGAATTTAAAACATAAGCATGTTACAACTCCCTTTCCATGTTTATCCAACAACTCAATCATCAGCACGTAGTTTTGCCCTGCAGAACAGCACTGCTGGAAATTCAAGTTACCATCACTAGGGCCAGGCTGGCTACTTCCAGTAAGCTCCAATCTACATCACCTTTCGCAGAGAGATACACGTAAAGCACTGGTACGCTACTGCCCTTTTGCTCTCTCCTGGATGTGACGAAGAGTTTCGTAGCCACCAAAAAACAACGCAAAGAAAACCCACCAGAACAAAAGCAAGGCTTTTGGAGATCTACAGTGTATGCAATGCTGCAGAGCACCCCAGGGCTTATTTTAGGATCCCCTGCAGGGCTGCTTCTCTAACATGGAGGGATCAACAGAAGCTGGCTGGCAGGCAGACACAACTCTTCTTTAGATCCCCAAGCTCTGTCAGGGTGCACTTGAATACTTTCAATAACCATTTTAACTCACTTACCAGTGGTCTGTTACAGGAAAGAAAGGCTGCCTTGCTGATTCGCCGCTTACGATTCCCACAGGCAGATGGGGGTCTGAATAATTACATGGGCTTCAAAGACTGTCAGAGCTCCTGCTGATAGCTTCTGTCGCTCGAGAGGTGGGAGAGACACAATGGAAATGCTACTTGTGTGCACAGAGCTACTTACATGCTGCACATATCACTACGTAGCAGGGGGAAATACCAGCACCTGGTGCGTGGGGCCAGGGTGTGTACACTGCCAGAGGACAGGTAGGAGATGTGAAGTGGCACAGAACACCACATCTTTCTCTCTGGAAGAGGTATAATCAAGGCTGGCCTGGACAGAGAGCTTTCACCAGTTTTGTGGGACAGAAAACGGATGTTTTTATTTAAAAATGTTATAAAATAAAACCACTGGTATTTCAAGTAGAGAAGAATATAAGAAACAAATATCTGCTCAGAGTACACACAAGTGCAGTGACTGTACTGATTTGCTTCATTCCCTGGCAGCAGCTATGGGAAATGGATAATCGCCTTTCACCGCCCAAGCACACAGCAGAGACCGACCGCAGACCCAAAACTACAACTGCCTGATCCACCTCCGGGGGACCTGCAGATGCCCGTAAAACAGACACAATGAGGAAGCGATGGAACTTGCTCTGAGAGCGAAGAGAAACCCTGGTCTCCCTGTTCAGCGGGCAGATGAACAAGAAATATAAATATACTCTGATTCTGCGTCCCCAGAGTATGTGCTGGCACGGCCAAAATCAGAGAAGTCCTCCTCCCCAAAACCACCCAGAAAACACATGCCCTTTGTGGCGTGCCACCCATCATATAAACCCATTTTCTCCTCTTGGCTGAGGAATGACAGTTTCTTGGGTTTCTTGCCAAGCCTGCCTGACCTCATGCAGAAACTGCCAGGTCTGGATCTAAACTCAGGGCGTAACAGTCCCATAATTACGTGATGCACACCAGGGAGCAGGAAGCTATTTCAAGGCACACCTGCAACTGTTATACACCACTTGGCAAAACGCAACGGTGGGGGACCATTTGTGTCTGTTAAAACCTATACTGCCACCACAATCTTTTTACATGTCTGAGCCTAGCAACTGTTTTCCCTTTCTGACCATCCAAAGGAGACCTCACAGCTTTCACCCATGCTTGGTTTGTTTTCTTGTAAATGGTCCAAACAGCTGAATCTCACAAAAGTGCTGGAACTGAAATTCATCTGCCGCATTTATTTTTCAATATAAGATATGCAAAAGGCTTTAAGTAACTAAAAGCCTGCTTTTTGATGCTGAACCAGGGCAAAAAAATAAATTACAGAAAGGCTAATACAAGGTAGCACAATTGTTATCTGTTGATACAACTGCTGTGAAACGAGTATTGTGGAACCATTATTCATAATGTATTTTTGATAACTGCAACATAACATACTGAGAGTTTTGCAAGGTGTTTAACATAATGGAAGATATTCAGATTAAAAAACAAACACAGTTGCAACAGAATACCCTATTTTTGCATTGTCCAGGGATGAAGCCAACCTTGTAATTGTATCAAGTGTAATGCTTTCGCTGGTGAGCTAATTCTTAGGAAGTAAAATTAGCAAAACACGATCAAAGTCCTGCTGTCAGGACAGATGTAACCCCAAGGATCTGATCCCTTCCGACAAAAGCAGGTACCACCACACAGCCAGCAGCCTCGCAGACAGCATCAGTGCAAATCAGAGCCACAGCAGAAATCCAGAGGTGAGGAAAGGAAGGCAGGCACCTTGCTGCAGACCTGCCTCTGGAGCATGTTTTCTCTGACTCTGGAAATAGATCTGAGTAATTTAAGGGTCTCAACCTGCATCTAATAAACAAAACCCCACAAGTCTGTCAGAGGGGAGGGGAGGAAGGTGAACAGGGGGCTGTCACCCTGGCAAGGGGAATGCACGCAGGGGTAGACTGAAAGAGTGCAGTGCAAGCAAGAGAAATGTGTAATGGGACAAACATACAGGCTGAAGTCAAAACACCTCTTGGGCCAACACCTTCTTCCCTGCAGGGAAGCTCCAAAGGCTTGAGCCCTCATCCTGCTTCCACCTGCAGACAGGAGTTGGCAGGCACACAGATGTCCGGCAGCACACAGGGGAAGGGTTTTGTAGACATCTATTGCAGCAGGATATGTAGTGCTGCCTGCTCTCCCGGACACCTGACACCCACAGAGCCAGGCGTCTCCAGTGACATCCAATGTACCCTGACAGCCCTCCCATCTGCAGCCTCCCCAAGCCCACCAGTGCTGCACATTTTGCATGAGCCTGCTTACAGAGGTTTTAGTTGGGTTCAGAGCTCCCCAGGCACAGGGGCACATTAGAGAACCACCTCCCATCTCATAGGGAAATCTTCTCCCTACCAAGCCCGAAACAGACTGAAAAGGACCCAAAATAAACTCCCAGGCTTGGACACAGAAGTCATGCAGATACCCACAGCACGTGAGGTTCTTGGAGCTGTTTGGATACACTAAACAGTCTCTGTGATCTCACCTGCCAGCTATTATTGCCATTTTACAGACAGAGAAACATCGGAGGCAAAGAGAGCGCTTAAAGTACTGCTCACTTCAGAGCATGCCAACAAAAATGGCTTTGGGGAATTCAGACTAGGTTCTTTCTCAGTTATTACTTCTATAGCCAAGTGGCTCTGCAACGCTAAATTGCTTCTGCCACTGAAGTAAGCAGATGTGATCCTGAATACACATGAGGAGACAATCTACTCACTGTAGCGGTGGTGAGTTTTTGTAATTTTTCAGTGTAAGTGCACTTTAACCGAGTTGACATTCTCCAGGACCTTAGACACTGATGGAAAATAATACTTCAAAGGCCATTTTAATTGATGTAGAGCTTCCTGTACCCCAATACAGCTCTTAAGAGTCACAGAAAACCGCTTTCAAGAACCCTCTGAGGATTCCCAAGTCAGTATTACAGCACTGCGTTTATGGAAGATAACTCCCAACACTGTTTAATTACATCTCTGACCTCTATACAATTTTCCATTATAGGCCTCATTCTTACCCCTTTTAAGTCCAACTCAACTCATTCTGCAGGAGCAGGATACAAAGAGATCCTTAGCTCCGAAATTTGCATTAGGAAATTAGCCACTTCTTCATGGCTTTCAGAAGATTCAACAAGAAAATGAGGTATGTGACTTCCTTCATTTAAAATCATAGTTTCATGGGGCAAATATATCTCAAAGTTTCCTAAGCCATAAAGGAGGAATTAAGAAGGAAG